TATCTTTACATTTTCAAGAACTGGCTGCAGTAAGAGGTTTTATTTTTTTTAAGCTATATTTACATCACAACCTTAGTTATCTAATTTTAACTTTATTCCTATCACTCTTTTAGTCCTGCCTTTCAAATAAGGCTCTACCACCTCCTTTCCAGACTGATCCATTGTTTGTAGGGCATAAGTCAGTCTGGCTGCCTACGCTAGACTTTATTAGCCCCACCTATGTGCAATTAAGGTCTGAAGGAAATAAGGTCTGCAATTATGGTCTGAAATGGAAATCTGACCATGGAAATATGAAAACATGTTGTTCATTTGCAGATAAAATGGATTAACATGTTCCTTACATTAACTTTTTTTGTTTTATATTATCTCATCAATAAATCATGTAAAAAAGGAAACAAATAAATTAAAGAAAATGCTTGCTTCTTTGTGCATTGTATTCTTTATCGAGAAGGTACTTATTTCTCACAAGTTCTGTGAAGATAATGCACCACATGCATTATGCAGAGTCTATTTTCTTTGCCTCTACAAAGGGGATGTCAGATTTGCATTCCCTCTGCCTGTTATTTGAAGTGAGTCTTTATTATGTCATTTTATGTCAGGCACACATTTGGCTTAACCGTCTGCAATATCTGCAAGAGCCACAGAGGGTAAGGCTTAGCAGAGTGTTCAGCAATTGCTGTCTCTATTTGATTTCTCTCAGCAGGTTGTCAACAAATGATCGTTTTCCATACAAATGATGATTCTGTCTTTGTCATTTAATTGTTGCTGTTCTTCGTGCAGTGGATCAAACACGGAGAGCGATAACAATTCGCTGTTTCAATTAATTTCACTCATGTGTGACTTAAGCTTGAAGAATTGCTTTCTGCTTTAGTCAGAAGCATTGTGAACCTTAAAACACAATGCCTGCGGTTATTCATGGAATATCATGGCAAGTTCTGCATTGTATACTGTAGCATCATTTTGTTCTTGTTTAACATGATCTGCTGAACAACCACTAATGTGATGTTAACTGATGTTATCTTTTAGGTTGCATGTTCTCTTTGGCATATTTCTCATAATGTTGTTTGGTTGCTCTGTTGCTTTTTGTCAAACAGACTTGGAAAATTTCAAAACTCAGAGGCGAAGTCCAGTAAGGGTCCGTGAGGGTCAAGGAGTGGTGTTACTGTGTGGCCCACCTCCGCACTCTGGAGGTAAGTTTTTTAACTCTGATGGTTTTTTTATGTGACAAGCAGTTTTTGGTTTTGATGTTGGAGCTGGAGGAGGGACTTTTTTTATTGTGCAATTCCTTTCAGCGTATTAGCCACATTTTTTTTCATGAGGGTGGGAAGAAAAATGGAAATAAGAATTTGAAAACTTTATACCTCAAATGCTATTAAAGTTAAAGGTTTTTCTTAATATGTATTAATCTAACTTTTTATTGCAATAAAACTATGTTTAGAAGTTATATTCAAATAGGAAAGAATAGAATAGGATTGGATAGAATAAAATAGAAGAGAATTGAATAGGATAGAATAAAAAACTGTTGATTTTTTTTCCCAGATGGTGACAATTTTTTTTTNTTGATTTTTTTTCCCAGATGGTGACAATTTTTTTTTCTGCATGGCTTTATTGACATTACATTTAACTAACACTTCAAACACAAATAGAAACTACATAAAAAAGAGTTAAGAGCAACTTTAACTCACTTTAAAATGTTCAAGGGGGATATTGTAAACTGAATGCGTGACTTATTGTCAATGTTGACTTATTTAAGTGACTTTCAAGATGGCCTTCCCCATTTCTGTGCAGTTTTGCTGTTCAGAAGGGGTGCTGTGATGGCCAATTTGTTTTGCTGGCCTGGTTTGTAACCCAGAGATCTGTTTCACAAAGCAGGTTTAAGAAACTCAGACGTGGATCAAATGTTCGGTTTCCCAACAGCTGCTGTGAGTTAGTTTAATGAACTCTGAGTAGGTCAACTCGCAGTGGAGCACGTGCATAACAAGTATGTTTAGCCATTATCAGTAGAGCGCAGATTCGACGAGTCACCATGACAACAGGAAACAGAAAGTGCCTATTTCACACAACTGGAACTAGAGATTTTAATGAATAAATGAAAAAAACAAATTGGAGAATGTGTTTAAAAGACAGATCAACAGTGCTACAGTTGCAAGGAGAGGTAGATGGCTTAAAAGATTGCTGCCCGAGTTAATGCCAAGGTTTATTTGAAGTCCTCTATTGCAGGCCGGTCTCTTTTGTTCCATTTCTAGATACCTTGAATAGGATTCTTCCTCATCAAATTCACATTACTGGATAGAACCATAATAACATATTTCTAAATTACATTTTTGCAGCAAAAACTAAATTTCAGAAATTAAAAATCGAATTTGTACTAGTTAGAGTTAAATTTTATATACCTAGAAATGTTTACACATTTTAAGTTCAAATTCATTTATAGACATCCAGAATGTTCATTTTAGTTATGATGAATTTAATTTTGTTTAATAACAAAAATGTATTTACTACATAAAAAGTACTTATTCAGACAAGCTAATAAATATATAAACTGCCTGTCATAGCCTGTTCTAATCATGATAACAAAACTAGTTTAGCGGTTGGATGGTAATGGATCAATGTATTATATTTAGGTGAAAACTCACTGGAGGGAAGCGTACCTGGGAACAGCTGAAGATGAAGTATGAAGTTGTTCTAACCTACCTCATCATTTTATAAGGGTTGCTCTTCATTCTATATCTGTCTACAGTAAATAAGTAAATGTGAATCTCATGATTAAATAAATAGGTAGCTCTCATCAATATTAATTGC